ACACACACCCCGACAGAACTGCGCACGCGCTCACACACACACACCCCCCGACAGAAATGTTGACTTGTGTACTCAGACACTCCCCTACAGATGTGCACACACTTACCCACACAGTCAGAGACACTTGTTTATACAAACATACACAATCCCCACAGAAACACAGCAGTCCTCCACCCAAGCATAGATACCCTCAGTATCATCCCAACATCAGAATGCATCTATACTGAAAACACATATAGAGATAGTAAGAACTGCAGATGCTGGAGTCAGAGATAACACAGTGTGGAGCTGGAGGAATACAGCAGGCCAGGCAGCATCAGAGGCGCAGGAAAGCTGACATTTCGGGTTGGGACCCTTCTTCAGAAATGGGGGAGGGGGAAGGGGCCTCAGAAATAAATAGAGGGACGAGAGGTGGGGCTGAGGAAGGTAGGTGGGATGGTGATAGGTGAGGGCAGGTAGGCAGTGGTGGGGATTGGTGGGAGAAGATGGACAGGTTGTGCCAAGTCACGGGGGCGGGGATGAGAGGGAGAGTTGGTCATGGGATGGGGGTGGGGAGATTTTGAAAGGTCAGCTTTGCTGCTCCTTTGATGCCGCCTGACCTGCTGTGTTCCTCCACCTCCACACTGTGTTATCGCTTGTAAATGCACTTACAGAGTGAAACAGTCCTCCCCTTACATCTACCCATCTACCATCAGTAACTGCCATGCCTTCAGCTGCCTGGGCCTGAAGATCTGAAATTTTATCCCTAACCTCTCCCTCCATGTTCTTCCTTTAAAAAAATACTCCTTAAAACCCTCCTATTTGACCAAGCTTTACATCTTCGAGTGAATACATCATTTGGCTCAGAGTCAGCTTCTGGTGACATGGCTTGGTACACTGCATTATGTTACAGCAGCTATTTAATGCTGTTATTGGTGCAGTGCAGAATATATGTAATGTGACAAACCAAGCTCTGATATTGCTGGTTTGGGAATAACATTCCCTGTTCCCTGATTTGGGAATCACAGGAGAATATCAAACAGCATACACAGAGACAGTGTGATGGGGAACATGAGCATTAAAGAGTTCATGAAAGACAGTCACAGCTAAGGACCAGGAGATTTAAGAAAACTGGAACCAGAATCCATTTTAAAAAACAGCAAATATCAGAACTGTGCTGCCTGAGAACGTATGGTCACAAATTTAAAGGTGACTTTCAAGAGGGAACTAGATCATTATCTGAAAAAGACCTTGCCAGGCAAGGGGGTAAGGACATGTGCAAGTAGGGCGAGTGAAACTGCTCCTTCAGGGAGGAAGCACAACAGCTCTGATGGGCCAAATAGCCCCACTCCTGAAGAAGGGCTCGACCCGAAACATTGACTTGCCTGCTCCTCAGATGCTGTCTGACCGGCTGTGCTTTTCCAGCTCCACGTTTTATTGACTCTAGCTTCCAGCATCTACAGTCCTTACTGTCTCCAAGCCCTACTCAGAGCTTTAACCCAGTCTGTGACTGCTGGGACATGCCCATGCCCATGCCCATGCCCATGCCCTCGCCCCCACCCCCGTGCCCATCCCCCCCCCCTTTGCCAGGTTATCTTGTCTCTGATTCGGGTGGTACACACCTTATCCTTGATTTTTCTCCAGGGTAGCTGACCAACTGCAAACTCCACCAACATGTAGAACAGTGACCAGAGATCATCATGTCGACCCATCTCCTGTAGATTGAACAACGTGACAATTAATCACTCTCAGTCCGTGTGGTCTGAGGGTCAGACTGTAATACAGCCCTCAGCCTCGCTCCCTCCTTCACACTGAGGGTCAGACAGTAATACAGTCCAGAAACAGACCCTTCAGCTCAACTTGTCTGCACTGAACAGATATCCTTAACTGAACTAGTCCCATTTGCTTACATTTGGCCCATATCCCTCTAAACCCTTCCTATCCAGGTACCTGTCCAAATAGCTTTTAAATGTTCTAATTATATTCACTTCCACCACTTCCTCCGGCAGCTCATTCCACACACACACTGCCATCTGTGTGAAAAAGTTACCCCTCAGGTCCCTTTTAAACCTTTCCCCTCTCACCTTAAACCCATGCCGCTCTAGTTTTGGACTCCTCTACCCTGGGGAAAAGACCTTGGCTATTCACCCTATCCATGCCCCTCATTATTTCATAAACCTCTATAAGGTCACCCCTCAGCCTCTGATATGCCAGGGAAAATAGCCCCAGTCTATCCACCTTCTCCTTATAACTCAAACCCTCCAGTCTCAGTAACATCCTGGTAAATCTTTATTGCATCCTTTCCAGTTTAATACCATCCTTCCTACAGCAGGGTGATGAGAATTGTACACAGCACTCCAATGGTGGCCTTACCAACGTCTTGTACAGCTGTAACATGACGTCCCAGCTCCTGTACTTAATGCTCCGTCTGATAAAGGCAAGTGTGCCAAATGCCTTCTTCACCACCCTGTCTACCTGTGACGCCACTTTCAAGAAACTATGTACCTGCCCGTCTAGTCAACAACACTATCCAGGGCCATAGCTGTTACTGTGTAAATTCTGCCTTGATCTGTCTTAACAAAATGTAACACCTCGCATTTATCGGGATTAAACTCCATTTGCTAATCCTCGGCCCAGTGGCCCAGCTGATCAAGATCCCATTATACTCTTAGGTAATCATCTTCCCTGTCCACTCTGCCACCAATTTTGGTGTCATCTGCAAACTTACTAACCACACCTCCTACATTTTCATCCTAATCGTTTACATAAATGACGAATAACAGTCCTTGCCTTTCCAAATCCATGTAAATCCTGTCCCTCAGAATCCCCTCCAACAACTTACCCACCACAGACACCAGGCTCACCAGGCTATAGTCAGCTACCTTTGGTCTTCTGGCACCTCAGCTGTGGCTATCAATGATATAAATATCTCTGCTAGAGGCCCCACAATTTCTTCCCTAGCTTCCCACAATGTCTTGGGGATTTATCTACCTTTGTACCTTTTAACACTGTGTGGTCAGCCTCGTGCTCTCCTTCATTTATTCCCATCCCTGCCCAAACAGCCAAATGTACAGTTTATTACACAGATAGCAAGATGCAAGCTCCAAGCAGTTGAGAAGAGACTTTCTCTGTTCTTTAGTTTGAACATCCTAAATGCTGGGTTTGTTCTCTTAATAAGGGTCTTGAAGGGAGACGATGGCCTAGTGGTAATGTCACGGGACTAGTAATCCAGAGCTCAAGCTAATTGGCGGGGGGCATGGCTTCATTCCCCATTGCAGCAGATGGTGCCATTTGAACTCCATGTAACCATTGCCAATTCTCATTAAAACCCATCTGGCTCACTAACGTCCTTCAGGGAAGGAAGTGTGGCCCACAGCAATGTGCTTTTCTTAAGTGCCCACCTTGCCAATGATGCCCATATCCCATCCAAACATAGCGTCACTAACGTTAGTGATATGTGCCTCTTTGTAAACTTGGCCTCTGCTCTTCCCAATAAAACGTATCGCCTCAAATTTACCCAAGTCTGCAGTTGAACTGCCCCTTCCATACGGTTTGAGAAGGTTTTTTTTATTGCGTTCTTGCATTTTGTATCTCCCCGCTTCTGGCAGCATCCCACACATTTTGAATCTGGACTTTAGATTCTGTTTCTGTAAATGATGAACAGTGATCCCTGCTCTGAACCTTCGAGACTCCTTTATCCCATCTTCAACAGTGTCAGGAACTGCCTTTAACTCCAAGCCTGTCTTGGGGGGGTTCACCATGACCTCAACTCCCATTCTACCTCCTCGATCCATTCCCACTCCCTTCTGTCACCAGGGAAAGATTAACACACATTCCCTTACTCGGTTTTTGTGAGCATTGACTGATGCGTAGCGAACGGTTCCTCGGAATCCAGCGACAGCGCGAGGCTGCAAAAAGGCAAGACAAATGTCAGATGTGTGACTCTGCACGTCAGACTGCCCAGGCCTGCCCCGGGGAAAACTCCCGGGCCGGCCCGGGCCTGCCCCGGGGAAAACTCCCAGGCCGGCCCGGGCCTGCCCCGGGAGGCCCAGCTGTCACCAGGTCACAAAGCCAGTGAGCTGCTCACCTGAACACCAGCCATAAAGCTTGGCATCTGTCACAGGTCAGTGATGGAGCTAATCGGGAGCTGGAGGTTAGCTGAAGGTTCATAGTCTCATCATCTGATTGAGTGTCATCTCAGGGCTCCACCATGAGCAAAACAAAGGGAGACAGTGACAAAATCAACAAAATCAAAACAAAAGAAATGAAACATAAAGATGGAGCTCTTGTTCAGTCACTGAGCTTCTGCAGCTCACTATCTCTGACTTGCATTGACACAATCCCAGAGTGATCTCTGCTCACAGCAGCATGGGGTAAATCCCTGAAGGTCATACCCCTCCCCACCCACAACGAACCCTGGCCATGGGGATACTTCCCAAACTAGGAGCCTGACTCCAGGGACAAACCCAAACCCAGACCCCCTAGGACAACCCTAAAACCCAAGCCCTGACCCCAGGGATATCCCACTCCCTCCCCAACCCTGACCTCTGACCTCAGGGACTGTCCCCAAAACCTGATCCCGGGGTGTTGCAAACTCCCAAAACCTGACCCCTGACCCCAGAGATACCCCCAAACCCTGACCCCTGACCCCAGACCCCAGGGACCACCCCAAACCCTGAACCAAGGCACCAGCCCGAACTCTGACCCAGGGGACGGACCCGGGGCACTGCTCAAACCCTGATCCTCAGGTGTACCAAACACCTGGGATGCTGACTCCAGGGAACACCCCTGAACTCTGACCCCTGGGCCCCCTGCCCCAAACCCTGATCCCAGGGTATCCCACACCCCCCAGCCCCCAGCCCCCACCCCCCACCTGATGATACTGGCCTGAGCAGAGTCACTGCCTTGGGCTGATGGATGTAGAACTGATGGTGAGCTGGAAGGCAGGTCCTACTGTGGTTCAGAGAGAGCCCTGTCCAGTAAAACAGACTGAACCAACTAAAAACGCTGCAGCTGAAACACTCACACCATGTTTTAACATTGCACAACGATGGTAACATGCAGGGGGCAGGAGCTCTGATCATCAAACATAGGCTTCAGGATGGAACACAAGAATGAACAATCCAAAAGAAACTGCAAAACAAAAACGAGAAATAAGCAGCTGAATCCAAACTAAAAAGAAAGCCAGCCCGAGAGACAATGTCGCAGTGTCACACAGCCACAACTTGGACGGGATTGTACTTGAGAAACCCTCACAATTTAAGACACCATCTTACTTGTTCACATCCATAACTTCCCCAAACCACACAGGAACACAGTTTTTCAATGCAGCACTCCCTCACTGGGGCACGGGGTCCCACACGCACACCGACTCTCACTGGGGC